CCTACCTTTCCTAGATGTGTTAGTCATCCGAAATCCTAATAACACCATTGGTCACACTGTGTGTAGGAAAAGGACCCATACAAACCGATATTTAAACGGTGAATCTCACCACCATCCTTCACAGTTAGCTACCGTGAGCAAATCTTTGTTACAGAGAGCACGAGGGATCTGTGACAGCAAACACCTGGCCGCCGAGCTTCAGCACGTCAAGCAAGTTCTGCACGACAACAAGCTTCGGGTCCCGCGCCTACGTCACAGTGACCGAGTAAAGCCGGCCACAGTCGAGCTTGTGCCTGCTGTACTACCATATGTCAGAGGTGTCACAGACAAGATTGGCTATATCTTGAAGCGAGCTTCTATTAGAACATTCTGCAAGCTGCCGAAGAAGATTAGTCAGTTCTTACCAACCGTCAAGTGTCATATTCCTCTACAAGATGCAGGAGTGTACAAGCTTGATTGAGAATGTGGTCTCTCTTATATAGGACAAACAAAAAGATCAATTAGGACCCGCGTAAAAGAACATATAGCTGATGTGAAGCATCAACGTTCCGGGAAGTCTGCAGTTTGTGATCATATCCTAGACGGACCCAACCATTACATCAGATTTGATAGACCACAAATCCTCGCGAAAGAACACCAATTCCTACCAAGGATGATACGTGAGGCTATTGAAATTAAAAAAACATCCAAATTTCAATAGAGAAGTAGGCTGGGTACTACCACCTGCTTGGGATCCTATAATCAATAAAATTAAAACTAAACCCAAGCATACTACTGCAAGATCTCAGGACATAGTTAATTTTGCATAGATCGGACCATAAACAATAATTAAAAAAAGCTGAAGTTACTCCGGGTTTAACAATGCCATCGGGACGTCAGTCATCTCAGTCCCCCGTGACCATGGGTGCTGGAAAGTGCCCGAAACGTCGGGAATTAAAAATAAAAGTAAATAAAAAGTAAAAATAAACGCGATAAAATCCGTAAAAGTTGTTTTAAATCATAAAGAGTCCTTCTTTCAGCATGAAGTCGGCCAGCTGCTGGCCGCTTGGAATCCGTTGCCCTATCTCAAATTTTCCTACCTTCAGCTAACCGTTCTTTCTTGTGCCAAGTTTTGCGTTGAAGTCTCCCATAAACACCGTATAGTAAGTTTTGGAGGAATGCATGGCTCTAGAAATATCCTCATACATTTCCTCGACCTCCTCTTCGGGATGTTCCGACGTCGGTGCGTAAACCTGTATGACCTTCACCGAATACCGTTTGGAGATTCTGCGTATAAGGTACGCAACCCTCCGGCGACACACTCCCAATCTTTACAACTTTGGTAATGAGAGACTTGTGCCCCATAAATCCAACACATCCTTGGGACAAATGGTTGCCCTCACGGTAATAGAACAAGTTGCTGGATTCGAGAATCACCGTAACTTCCCCCTTTCTTCGGACCACGGGTAATCGTATAACATTTCTGTGCAACGTGCCTATCTCTTCTTCCAGCTCCAGGATCTTCTCGTGAGTCCTCAGGATGCGTGCGTTATATGTTGCCAGGTCGAGTCGTCGTAAGTGGCAACCGAACCTCTACCGGAGATTCTTATCACCCTCTGCCCATCCGTTACCATGGTTGCTACCGTAGCCAGGAAAAGCGGGGCTGCCAGGGTTTGGAGGCCGTTTGTTACAACCATGGGGGTTTATTTCCATAGTTGCCACGTTCGTTGCCAACCGCAGTTTTTTTATAAAGTTGCTGCTGTCATGAATATCCTGCTGCTCATCTCCTGCCTGTTGCCTTTTGTTGCCTTTTACGACACCCACATGAAGATATGGAATAGTGGATATTCTTAACCACCACTACACGGCAGTTCAATCATCCTAAATATAGATAGCGTCACATACATTCATAAAATGATTTTCTATCCGGGCGAAGCCAAAAATAATAATATAGTATGAAATAATACTTTTTAAGAAATTGTTGACAATCCCTTTGCTAAGAAATATATAAAGTTAATTTTACGAAATATAATTGGACATGTGCATATCCATTATGAGATATATTTTAATAAGAATTTGTATCTTCTACTCTAAATTATTTGAGCAAAGTACTCATATTGTAAATCCCTTTTTCTGAGCGCCGCTCAACCCAAGTCCGACCAGAGAGGGAGAACACGACAATATGACCTTGAATAGAGTTACATAAATACCCTTGATGAAAAAATATTTTTTTAATAAGTATTAATACTCCGATAGGAATATAATCACTTTTGTTTTCACCGGTGATTTAATTAAATTTTAGAACATAAATTTTAGAAAATAATTATTTTGACTTAATTATGATGGATAAGCTTGCTTGCGGACTTTTTTGTAGGTAATAGTGAGTACTTTAATCATTTGCTACGTAACTTTTATGTATAATTAATTGTTTTCTTAGTGCACGCCAAATAATGAATTTTATAGGCATTTGCTACTTTGGGTTATATTATTGTAAGTAAATACTGTGGCACTATAACACAATGTAAATACAAATCACTTACCGCATCTACATCAATCCTCAGATAAAAATCAAAATACAAAAGCGTCGTCATCCCTGACGGAATGCCTCATTTCAAGTAAGAACTTTATTCGGTTCTACATTCAGCATACAAACTCACTAGTCTGAGAGAGTTTGGTCCTTTCCCGGTCAAGTCAACCCATTCGTACCACAACCACAATATAGCTGTAGCTTGCTTTTCTACCACATAAAGTTAATATGCGAAAAACCAGCACACAATCTTGATGAAAAGTGGGTCATCAACCCACATATTATGTATATTATTAAAGGTCGGGAAAAAATCTTACATATACAAATTCAAGTCTTTTTTTTTTTTCAAAGTTTAATTACATTTAATTATAATATATATGTGCCGTTTTGTTCGATAACTTCTTGTTGCCATATTGAAGGTTTTGACATTATTACGTTGCTACAGTAATCTTTGGATTTTTGATTAAAAAATGCGACAAGTAGTTTTGATAGTCGTCTCTCGATGTAAACGAACAAAATAACCTAAAGAATTCTAAAACCAAAAGAGGTGAAAATCTGAGGTTACAAGGTCAGGACTATATGATGGATGCATTAACACTTCCTAGTTCCATATACGTCCCACTGTTAGCAAGGTGATTTTTACCGCACTGCGCTGCTAAACCAGTATTAGATACGGACTTGACAAATTCAAAATTTTTTTCTTACGATATTTTCTTCGTCGCCGATACCAGTCTAGTGGTAAAAAAACACTTATAATTCCAATAATTATTTTATATAAAATATGCAGACTTTAACAATTTCGTTTCTAACATTTACCATGATTAGTTGTATTAAAAACGAGCAACGGAAGTTAATTATGTTACGAGGTACATAAAGTGAGCTAGTGTGTGGAGCACTCTAATGCAATTTCAACTTTACTGTGCTTTTATGTTTAACACTATATGAGCCAGCAGCTCGATATTGTTGCATATTGTGCTGTATCTTACGCCATAATAAACTTACGTTCGGTTAAATTTCGACCCAGTCGTTTTTGCTAATTCAGTAAATATTATTTTATAGACATGTGTTATGTACGCATAAGACCTGGCAAACACTCACCTGGGTAATCTTTGAGCTGCTCTGCGTTTATTGGGCCCGGTGTGATGTAGATTCTGGCCAAATGTTTCCACTATATTGAAGCAGGGAAATGAGATCTTGTCTGCTGCCAGTAACGGAGCGCGTACATAATGTGTACCATCAAAAGCGTTATTGCTTGTGTTCACGAAGAAGTTGGCCGTTACTAGTGGTCGTTGCGGGTGTGGTTCAAAAAAAGGTTGCTCCCTTCAAGTTAAAGAGTGCTTGCCAGTAAGAAAAAATATTTATTTGAAACATTTTACGTAAGAAGAAATGTTTTCCTTTCAAATAGCACTATTTTTATCATAAGAATTATACCTAAACATTAATGAAAAAAAATACGTGTGACACTCGGTGACTGCCGCGGTAAAGCTATTGCATAGTATTTTTTATCAACTTATGCAACTATAATTATTTATTTATTTTATTTATGCAGTTAAGTCTTTGATATTAAATCTAGTTACACTTTTTGAGCGTGGTGACCGATAAGAAAACAATTTTTTTTCTCTTATTGAATAAATGAGAAGTTAATATTGTTTAAAATATTTTTAATATCTTACAATACATGTAGGTTATTCAGGAATTTTTATCATTGAGTTAGCAGCTAGTGTACACGCATACGTCCAGTCGCACGCACACAAACACCGTGCCGAAGTCTGCCGAGTGCCGAAGTCTGCCGAACTGAAACAACGTTAGACGATGCACGGCTTTCAACGCCACACCTCCGTGCCCGTCGGAGTGGGGAGCGTGAGGTTTTTTCGTTACGGAATTTCTGGATTCGGTCCCCGCGCTCAAGGCCCGCGATAGAAGCTATGCAATAGCTTAATATAAATAATAATATAATATCATGTCGACACCTCCATGCAATAACATCGTAACTCATTTTTTTCCATAAATTGCGTTACAATGATATTACTATGTAAAAAAAAATACAATTTTTCTGTACAATCATTGTAATTCTGCTCCCATTCGATTTTAAAATAAACAAACGTCAAAGTATTGTAACATAACAAAAAAGTATTTTTTGTCAACAATATCGTTGCAACTTGATTTACAATTTATAGAAAATATTATGAGTAGCAAGTCAATCAAATACAACAACATTGTAACATTATATACAATTTTTGTACATGACAAAATTGGGGTTTATGGCTATGAAACGTAATGCAACTGCATTGTATGTTGACTTACAATGTTGTTGCGCGGATATTTATGTTAGTTTTTATCGTGTTATGACAAGTTATGTCGAATTGCGATGTTGTCGTCTAGCAGTTTACTCGCGCTTTAGAAGTTTAGTGTTGTTGTGTGGTTTACTATACAGAAGTGAGAAGTGTACATGGTGACTATTTCGGCTTTTAAGTAATAAGATAATAGTAATAAGATGAAGCGTAGCCAAAATATTTTAAATTTCGCGTTATCATTAAGTGGAATTCCAACTGGTAAGTTGTATTTTAGTGTAAATTATCAGCGTTAGCAATAACTACGTATTGGTAAGCGCATCGGAGCCGTTCAGTCAGTTTAAATTAAAAATGTACCGAGTTAAAGTTGTACCGAGTAACCGAATACAGAGTTTTACTCGGATTTGTTATTTATTACAGAGTCGAGTACTTTGTTGAGTTACTCGGTTCAGGTTTATGCAGGTCTGGCGCGAAAACACGTTTATACGTGATCACTTGTGCATGTACATTGCGCTGCGACGCTCCTCGTCAGATGTAAATGCTTGCTAAGATTAACTTTGTTAAAATTGGTACTTTACATTTTAGATCAAGAGGTAGCTTCGACTTCGTCCAAGGCAAATGATCATGCTACGCAGAAAGTTATTCCACCACAAGATAATAGCTATTTTATCGAACGCGGTGAAGACTTACTTTCATTCAAAAATAGTATGCGGGAAAATGCGCTTGTAAATTATTACCCAGATTCCTTCACCTCATCTAGTAGAAAAGAACCATTTTCTCCTGACTTTTCGGAATATATCCCTTCCGACCAGGATGTTTCAAAAAATAGTTCTCAACATTCTTCAGAATATAATATTCCTTTACAAGAGATACCAACAGCTACAAACATATCTGAAAATATTACCACTCCCGAAGGGACAGCAAGAAAAGTGAAAAGGAATGTTCCGAAAAAAACTAGTCCGGGTAGAAATCGAGGTCATAATCGAAAAAACTGGAAACGCAACTTAAGTAAGCGAAAGAAAAATTCGGGCGAAGAATATGTAAACAGAAGCGGAATCTTAGTCCCAAAGAAAGTTATGAGGAGTGGTTGTAATAATGCCTGTACTAGGAAGTGCAAAGAAAGATTAATGGAAACGACAAGACATGCAATTTTCAAAGATTTTTGGGGTTTGGGCGACCACACAAGAGAAGCTGATTTTGTTTGTAGATTTGTAGATAGAGTTCCACGAAAACAAATAACAGCATCAGTTACTGGACACTCACGGCGCCACTGGTCCTTTCAATATTATTTATATGAAGATGGCGATAGAAAAAGGGTCTGCAAAAAAATGTTTCTTGATACTCTGTGTATTAGTGATATGTGGCTACAAACTATATACAAAAAAATGGACAAAGAAGGCACTGGGCTTATAGCAGGAAACTTGAGGGGGCGACATAATAATCGGAAAAATTTGATACCGAATGAAGTTAAAGAATCTGTTAGAGATCATATTTCATTAATTCCTATAGTGGATTCACATTATGTAAGAAAAAGAACTTCCAAACTGTACTTTGAAGAAACTTTTACATACCCTGCATTGTACAGGCTTTACGTTGATTGGATGAAAGAAAATCGTCCGTTGAAACAAGTGGCAAATTCTAGGCAATATAAGGACATTTTTTATAACGAATATAATATTGAATTCCATAAGCCTAAGAAAGACCTTTGTATTCTTTGTGATAGATATAAGAGAGGATCTGAAAAAGAAAAAGATGACATGAAGCTAGAGTACACCTTGCATATTGCGAATAAAACAGTGGTAAGAGAGGTGAAAGAGACTTGTAAGTATCAGTCGAAACAATCTAACGTTATAGTTACAGCCGCTTATGACTTACAGAAAGTATTGAATACATCTCAATCAGAAGTTTCGCTCTTTTACTACAAGAGGAAATTTGCCGTATACAATTTTACTATATATGATATAGGAAAGGCCAAAGGATATTCATATGTCTGGAATGAGACAATAGGCAAGAAAGGATCCTCAGAAATTAGTAGCGCTGTGTTTCTTTTTATTAAACAGAAATATGAAGAAGGGTTTCGTATATTTAGTTTTTTTTCTGATTGCTGTAGCGGACAAAACCGCAATCGAATAATAATAGCTATGTATTCCCATGCATGTAAAATATTTGGCATAACGATTACACATAACTATTTTGAAGTAGGACATTCACAATCTGAAGGAGATGCTATGCACGCGTTAATAGAGCGTCGGAAGAAAAATCAGATTATTTTTGTACCAGAGCAATGGATCACTCTGATCAGATGTGCTAAAACTACGGGAACCCCTTATGATGTTACTGAATTAGATCAAAATCTAATTCTTGATTATAAAAGCCTTCTAAAGAAAAAACTAAACTGGGGCTGGAATAGTACTGGAGAAAAGATGTCTTGGACTAAAATAAAACATATTAAAATAGAAAACGAAAACCCTGACTTAATATACTTTCAATATGATTATCTCAGTGATCAGTACTTATCTATCAACCTTGCTGTGAAACCTACTACACGCATTACACGAACAAAAAGAGCACAAGAGTCAATTCAGTGTGAACAGTCAAACGACGGAGAAAGTATTCCTTTATTGTATAATAAAGTGCTCCCAATATCAACAGCAAAGTATAAGGACCTTGTAAGTTTGTGTAAATGTAAAGCGATACCAGATATTTATCACAATTTCTATTTTAATCTTCCACATTCCACTCAACTAGCTGAAGACAACGGTAGTGATGATGAAAATTAATAGTTTTTAGTTGATTTCCTATTTTTTTTGTTTGTTTTTCAGAAAGAAGGTTTTTATGTTTAAAGAATAAATATATAATTATAAGAATAAAGATAATAGTTTTATAAGGTCAAAGTTTAGTTTTCGGGAGAGAATTAGATTTTTTTATAATTAAAAAAAAATATTTAGTGTCATAATTATAAGTCGGATAATAATGTTTGTATCCAGTGAAGTTTTCTAATTTGATGTCAATAAATATTTTAATAGTACGAAACTGCTTTTTTATCCTTTAAGTCAATAAAACATTATCATAATTTCGTAAGAAAATAAATTTATTACACGTCACATTATGAGATGATTCTTTACAGATTTATAGTTGTTTGCATGAAAAATGCTTAAATTTTACTATGAAGAAACATTTTAGGTAACATAACTCCTCGGAGTTACAATTATCTGACAACAAAAATAAAATTAGCTTACAAAAAACTAAATTGTATCTCAGACATACAATGCTTGTTCTCGTAACTTATATGCTATTTCAATGAATTGTTTTTCACGTAAGTCATGAAAAACCATGAAATCAACTTTTCTTTTACAACCTAACCGTAAATAAAAATAGTGCACCTAAATAATATTAGATAGTGACAGCTTCAAATATTGTAGGGGTCGTTTTGAAAGTGGTACATTTTTTTAAACTTTAAATTCTGTCTACTCTACAAACATAAAAAATTAGTTACGATTTTATTGCATGGAGGTGTCGATGTATACAACATAATTATGTTATGTAAACTTAAGACCTGGCAAACACTCACCTGGGTAATCTTTGAGCTGCTCTGCGTTTATTGGGCCCGGTGTGATGTAGATTCTGGCCAAATGTGTCCACTATTTTATTTTTCCACAGGTCAGGTATAGAAAACTGCCTTGGTATTCGATGAAGCAGGGAAATGAGATCTTCTCTGCTGCCAGTAACGGTTCGCTTACGTAATGTGCAACGTCAAAAGCGTTATATTAGCGAATATTGGCGTTTGTTAATTAAAAATAATTACAATAAATTAAGTATATTAAAGTGTCATTCAGACCCAATGTCGATCATGAAGGCCAATCTGAATGGAGACTAGCCATCTCTAAATTAGTATTTTCGGACAGAAATTGGGATTCAGTACGGAGGATAACTGGGATTGGTTTGACTAAATTTGCATTTTAGAAAAAGTTGCGAACTTTCTGACTCCGCGCTGCTACTGAGAATTTCTTGTTAGAAAAACCAATAACTGCTTTTGGTCCTACCCGAAACTGGAAACCACATAATCAGTCAATAGTCAACCAGATCAGCAATCGCGTTTATGGAAATGGTTTATGGGTGACAACGAATCTGCATTTTGATTCTTAATCCAAGGCAGATGTAGATGTCTATGAGCCACAGCATCCACTTGACATCAGGTGGACTCTGTGATCGTTGGTTACTCTTGTTTTCTATAGAAAGGGTTAATGTAAAGACATCTTTGAAGTTAATACGTTTTACGTATACTACATATTTCACGTTTATTTTCCATTTAAATATTGTATAAAATAGAGTAAATGGAGCCCTAAACTCTATTGTGAAGAGTCAAAATGTATCAAAAAAGGCACGTATGGCAATTCACAATACTGTGTTGGTCCCTACTTTAACGTATGGTAGTGAAAGTTGGGTGTGGCAGAAGAAGCACTAGAGGAGAACGAACGCAGTAGAAGTGCGGTCGTGGAGTATGTTAGGGCTGAATCTGAATGACAGGGTGAGAAATTGTGTGATAATAGAAAAATGTGGTTTGCAGGATGATGTTGTGACTAGGATTAAGAAAGGAATGCTTCGGTGGTTTGGTCATGTGGAAAGAATGAATGAGGAAAGACTGAGTAAGAAAATTTATGTTGCAGAAGTGAATGGCAGAGAGAGAGCAGGGAGAGAGAGAGAGAGAGAGAGAGTCGGAAAGGGACGTCCTGGGCGAAAATTTATCGACCAAATTGGCGATTTATTGAAAACGGGCCAAATTAGGAGTACCCTTAATCAAAAAGCGTGTATGCGTAGGTGTATGTATGTGAAAGAGGCGAGAGAGGTGTGTCAGGATCGTGCCAAATGGAAGTCTGTAGTCTCTGCCTAGCCCTCTAGGTGACAGGCGTGAGTGTTTATGTTATGTTAAATATTGTAGTACATCTAATTTCACGCTTCAGAAGAAGTGATTATTTTAAATAGTAATAAAACCTACATTTTACATGAGCATCTAATGATATTTATACAATATTCGGAGTTATTCTGATATTACTTTTATAAATAACAAAATCAGTCTCGTAATTAAGACTGCATAACTTGATTTAAATCAGAAGTTAACAGTCTTTATTTAGCAGTGGATTTGGCTGCAATGATGGTGTTGGTGAAATGATGAAAATTAATCTTCATTATTATCACGATTACAGCCTATTCAAGATTATTGCTGAACACAGGTCTCCACCTTAGATCTCACATTTGAAAGTATTTGCCGTAGTTTTTACTCTTGTTAGACGGGTTGACACGCCACAGCATTTATATTATTGTTACTTTCTAATCAGAAAGATGCAGCTGCCCATATCACGTTTCAGTTTCACTCTGTCGCTTCTTTTGGCTGCTGTTTACCTTACTTACATTATTTCTTCTCTGCTATAAATACCTTCCAAATCAATACAACAATATATTTGCAAACATGGCAATCGGGTTATCAAACATTCCAACGAAAGATAATCCACTACGATATGTGGCGGCGCTGTCGTCGCGCCGCAAGCGAAACACACCGAAGCCTAAATCACGCTATCAATATTCCAAATCATAAACAGTATATATAGAACATCTTCAAACTATCACGGAGTGTTGGCCGCTCCCCTGGCAGAACACCTTGCCCGGGGGGAGATCTCCCCATTTTCCTGCAACGGCTACAGATAAAAGAACTACGATGGAAGTCGAATATAAGAACGCAAACGCCGCAGTAAAACTAGAGAAGCAAATGCTTTTCTGCTAACTTTAGCTTATTTTTTATCTATAAAAATGCTTCCACGGTACAGGAGAAATTTATAGTGTGGAAAAAAGGTTTTTAAAAGCATTAAGAATAATTGGGGCCTATCATTAATATAATATTGCAGAGTAAAATATCGTGCTTTGTGATATTATATGAGGTCCAGAAGGCGGTCACTCTATAGAAACTTCTAAACCGCTTTCAGGACTCAACATCTTAATACATCATCCGAAGTGCGGGGCATAAGGAGCTGGGCCATCACAGCATATTGATCGTACGCTTGGCCTGATTATTGGCAGCAGTGAGTCAGCTATTATGCCGGGCATCGCACTTTGGCGATCGAGCATATCATTGTTAATTCATTTTTTTCCACAGTTTTAACGGCAAATTTTGTACTAATTTTTATCTATAAATCTAACTCCAGTCCACTCCAGTAAGTATTATTTATCCAGCAAGCTACGAACATTGGTCCTGCAAGCCGAATTTGAACCAGCGATCTATAGATAAAAATTCCACTTTAGTGCGTATCATTAACCCATAGAGCTATGAAGTCTACAAGTACCTTATCTGGCCAACCATCACCACATACGAAGGATGTGTGATCATATACCCGTCTACGATTTGCCGCTTAGCAGGAGTGACTTAACTCATTAGGGATACACTAAGATCAGCTTTTCAAGGACAGCGTTTATCAACTCGTTAAAATACAATGCTTAATATAAGCAGTTATAGGGAGCGTTTGGACCTTCTTCGTATTTCCCATATTTGCCTCATTCGACACCCTCAGAACGAAATGGGATAATAGTTGCTCTTGCCTCTTATCCGCGACCACGTTATGATTTTTTTTTTTCATTTTAAATGAAAATGTTCATTGCTGAACATAGACTTCCCCGTAGATTGCCTCATACAAGGGAATATTTGCCATGGTTGTCTCGCTCGGCAGGCGGGTTGGCGACTGCAGTTTTTAATATTTTTAATTGTTATTAGAAAGATACTGCTAAGAATATACTGACATCTCCTATTTCATTTCCTCCTACGAAATTAACGGAACATATTAAATTATGGGAAAAATTGCATTTAAAAATTCAACGTTAAAATTAAGTTAATAATTGAAAAGCCACAAATAACATTACAAACCTTATGTTAGCAACACAACACAATTGAAAAGTAAATTCTCATAACCGTATTTCGGGAGCGAACTAATTGTATCCATTAACTGGTAACTTTATAGAGCGCCAGTTTCAAAGCTCTAATGAAATTCAACCCAGTTTTTGGAGAACTGCAGACAGAATTTTGTACAAAAATAATGTTTGGATATAATATGAAACCAGGAAGAGGTAAATTATTTGTTACCAAATTTATATTAATGTCATTAACTAGAGAAAAGCTCTTTGTCAAGCTTTATATTCTCTGTCGTAAACTGAGGGTAAATTTTTTTTTGGAAATACATGAGGTTATATTAAAAGTTGATGTTTTTTTTATCAATATCATATTTTAATTTACAAAATATTATCAGAATGAAAAAAAAATATATACTGCATTTATGCATTATCGGCCACCGAGAGTTATACAATTGCACAGCTGATAGCGTTCCAAAATGATATATCGATCAATCACCTGGGATAATGTTGACCACTATGCGAGGAGTTTAGGCTATAAGATTCCAAAATAATATTTCGTTACATTAGCAGAAGTATTCATTGAGAATTCGACTAAGTCAAAAAGTGATATTTAAAATTCGATTGTTTTCCCAGGACAAAGTTATTTTCCGGATGCGTGGTAAATAAAACAGAACTTTCAAGTAGTAATATGTAATAATTTATACTTATTGGATAAAGCTATTCTTTTCATTTCATAGCATATAATTCTTAATTTTTATACTTTTGATCAGCCTACAAAATTACACGTTTGTCGTAGACAGGATTTGTCTGAATCGTCACGCTTAGCAGGTGGATTGACGTTCGCAGCTCTAGAAGACATGCATGTTTGATTCTGCTGGTACTGTTG